CAGCTGTTCCGCCGGGGGCCGCGCCGCCCCGCCCAGATGTGCCACCGCTGGCGCGACAGGTGGGGACGCGCGGAGCCTCTCCCGACCCCCGCCCCCAGCACAAAGATGCCCAGGACCACAAACCCCGAGGGGCGAACGCAGGGTCAGGGACATCATTCCCTTGCACTGCCACCCCGGGACCTGCCCCACACCTGCTGGTCCTAAACCCACTTCCCCAGCCTCCTCCTTCCAGAGAGGAATTTTTTGGCGAGCCCTGGAATCCAGGCCCTTCAGAGAAGCTGCATCACGCATGGACACTCACACAAGCAGACTGGCTGTAGTAGGATGCAACTGTCCTAAAGCAATTAGGATTCTCATAGGTACAAACATGTCAGAGCCACACTCGGGAAGACTTATTGATAAGAAATATTGAAAATCTCAACCAAAATATGATGCTTAAGTCCAGATGAGGATGTCTTCTGGTATGTGCGATACACAGAGCCAGGGTGAAGAATCATTACTGCCTATCCTTTAATTGCACTGTGGGTGAGATGTGCACCTTTTTTACATCCTTTCTTGTTCTCTCAGAAGTAGAAAGGAATGACCACACCAGTCAGAGTGAAGCCATGGTAGAGTGGGGTTGAAATCTGATTCAAACACGAGCCCTCTGTTCAGTTCTTGTGGTGTACTGGGTCTTGCTCCGGCCCCATTTTGTTCCACCAGCTGCCTCCACACACAGGAAGCTTAAGAGCAGAGGTGAGACAGAGACTTACCCTGAGTCACATCTTTGTTTAGATCTTTTGTGAACATGAACACTATATTTCCAGCTAGCTCGTTACAGTGAGCCCAAAAAGAAACAACTGACTCTGAGATGAGCTCAGTTGATTATGGCATGGTGCTAATAGCACTAAGGTTGTGGGTTCAATCCCTGTATGGGCCGTTCACTTAAGAATTGGCCTTGATAATCTTCGTGGGTCCCTTTCAACTCAGAATATTCTGTCATTTGTGATACAAGACTGGAATGGCCCTTAGAGGGGCAATTCCACCTCCTCATCATCCAACCTTCCATCCTGTTGAACCTAATTGCCTCCAACCAACAGACAAAACAAAACAAAACTGTTCTTTCTTCATTTCTTTTCTCTAATCTCTCTCTCTGCCTGTCCTTGAATTGCAAGAGATCTTGAGCAAGGACTGTCACTTTTCTGGGAAGTTTCATGTTTAATGTGTCAGAAAGAGGTGTCAATGTAAGGTAAATTATAATGGAAAAGGCATCTTTCCATTGTATAAAAGAGATCTTGAAAAAGCTCTCAGTTTTGGACTGGAGGCATAGGGAAGATCCATGTAATAGCACAGGAAAGATTTCTGTGCAGTCATCCATTAAATGACAGGCACTCACACATGCATTGTGCAGGCTGCTAACTGTGTCTTGAGGGATAGCTCACCACGTGGTGAACCTGTTCCCAGAAGGACCACGTGCTTTCTGCTTCTACCAAATCCACCCTGAGTTTTAGACACCAGGCACCAATTTAACCTTGGTGCCATAGTATGAATATTAAACAATGCCCCACATGGCTGGTGGGTTTTGTGTCAACCACCTCCCTTTTCAACCTGGATAACCAAATTAAAGCATAGTTTCATCAGTGAAAGGAAGCCTTATAGACCTGCTTTAGCAACATGTTCAGCTACCATGAGGGATGGGCTTTGCTTTGCCTGGCACAGCAGCCTGCAGCTGACACCATGGGGAAGAATGCAAAACAGCACCAGGGGTTTGTTGTGATTGTACCTTGGTTCACTTTATCAAAGAGCCTTTCAATTTGCTCCTTATATTGGTTGGAGAAGGAATGAGAAGGAGGGGCTGCTTGCTGTCCTTGCCAACTTATGTCAGCTTTTCCTGCAAAAAATGTTGAGTAGGGTGAGAAATATGCTCTGTGATCACAGGGGCCCTTGATAGACAAAACAGGATCACACTGATTCTGGGTTTTTGCCTTTTTCCTGTGCTCTAGCAACAGGGAACATTGAAACAGCTTGCCAAAACTGCAGGGCTTTCACACCAGCAAGTCAGGACTTTCGTTGTGTGTTAGTGATATCAGTTGAATTGACTAATTAGATGCATGCAATTCCTTGGTACCAGCCCTGCCAGGTAGTGGGGACCTGGTGCAGAGCATTCTGTGTGACAGAGCAGGATGAGTTCACAGTGACTTAAAACTCCTCTCCCCTTTCTGAATTTGTGCATGGGCACCAGACTTCCAGTTTGCAATTTGTGCTTAGAAGTCAATGGAGACAATGCAACCACTCCACGAATTTCATCTGAAGTTAGTATCGGCTAACATCGTGGTTAAAACCGTGAACAAACACAAGGAGAAAGGCTCTGCATAGTCACATCTGCTCATGGAACAAAAGTCACAAAACCACCCGTCAATTCTTCACCCAAGAGCTGGGTGCAAGGATGAGCTGCAGCTGTTCAGCTCAGGCATATGTGAAAGACCACAGAGACAGGATGTGGAGGAGGATTTGTGAGAGGCTGGAGGGGAGTGTCTGCATGCTGGATGATAACCAGGCAGATAACCAGCTGCTAGGCTGGGTACACAGGGGTGCTTTCACACTGCAAAGGAGGCAAGGGCAGATGAGTGCATTTGCATTTAAGGACTCTGGGTACTTTGCAAAGGTCTCTAACTCTGAAGCACCGTGCAGCAATGAAGGGAATGTAGTTAAAAATTCCCTTTATAAAACTTACGTTTGTGCCTTCTAGGCACATCAGCCCTCAAGGGGTTCCACAAGAAACCAGGTAATCACAATCACGGAATTATATGAGGAATCAGAAGAAGAGGAGTAGAGATGAAGCCTGAGCCACCATTCCCTGAAATGTGGGCAAACACATCAGAATTCATATTCTGAGAGGATGCTCAGAGTAGGAGGTGTGACCCAGGGAATAAATATCACAGGATAAAACACAAATCAGTGAGTGGGCACTAGCCAAGCCCTTTTGGATTTGAAAGTCATGGGGTCCAGCAGCCTGGACCACTCACTGACACACAAGTGAGACTGCTGAGAATGTGGCACTGTAAGCATCAAAGGGTCTGAGAATGGAAATATGCCATACATCCCTTCCAGAGCAAGGTTTGACCCACTAGGCCCTGCTGACTTCATGTACCCATTAATCTAATTCTTTCCCATATATGTTGAAGGATATCAAAAGCTGTTGCTTTAATTGCTGTAATTAAATGCCTGGCGAACGTCAACAGATGTGGAAGAAAAAGACACACCTATCCATGAAATGTACAGATCTGCATGCTGCAGGGAGAAAAGATCATCTGGGAGATATTCACTTCATGTAATTGTTGAGCTAATCCCTAATTTGTGTATTTTAAACTGCTTGAATGAAAAAGGCATTCTTGATGTGTCATGCATCATCCCAAAACGAAATACCCTGCAGCCACTACATCAGGAAGGTTTACCCCCATTGCTGTCACCTTGGAAACTTATGAAAACTGGATGTAAGACTCAGATGGGACAGAAGCAAATTTGGCCTTGTGAGTTAAAATAGGAAAGGATGACAAGAGACCACTCTCAGCCACAAGTGAACAACTGTGTTTCTGTGTCTACAGGACAACAGACTTCTCAGCAGCAGCCAGAAGAGTATGCAAAGATACTTCTAGAGATGATAGGTTAAGGGAAGAAGGAAAAAAAGATCTGTAGATATAAATAAAGCCTCATAAAATGCTTAGTCTCAAACAGCAGTCAAAAAAACCCACCATGACTAGTGATCATCCAATTTTGTGCTTTTTCCCTGAGAAAACTGAATCTCACATCACCTCTTACGTAAGAAATGTAGTTGTTGTTTTATATGAGTGGGACAGCAAAGAAGTGTCCATCTTTTGTGACATACTGGCTGTACAGTGTGCAGACTGGGAAAAAATGCTTTGTGCAGCTATCTTGATGCTTTAGATTAATTCTGTTTATTTCCTGACCTTTACATTTGCAGTTCTCCCATTCATCAGCAATGGATTCACCTGAGAGGAGGCTTTTACATATTTTAGCAGCCATTTTGCAAAGTGCTACTCAGGTATTTGTTATGAGCTATGCTCAAAGACAATTATCTGAAGACAAAAACCCCCAAAGAAACAGGGGAGAACAAACAGGCTATTAGAAAATATTAATTTCTTCCACATGTACTGGTCATATTTCTTGAGTTCTGACATTAAAGTACAATTACACTCTTGCAATGCCTCTGTGAGGAGTGTTTAAGTACCTTTTAACTCAAGTCTACTGTGCTACTCATACTAGGAAACTCAGTGAGGCCTGTTGAGCCCCAAGTGTATTTCAGAGGAACCCCAAGGCTGCTTCCTCCCAAAGCAGAAAGCTTCAAGGAGCACATTTGTGCCATATCCCAGTGGCCCAAATCTCACCGCTAAGCTGGGGCTTACATGAAAGGCCAGTACTGAGCAAAGGATATTTCCAGGGGAATCAGCTCCTCCCTGTTTAAAGGGTCCTTTGATCTACAAGAGAAATCTAACAGGAATTTAGCACAGCTAATAGTCAAGCCTTTGATCTTCCCTTTGGAGTTTCACTGGCTCACAGACAGCCTGAACCCCTACTTCCAGCAACAGGAGCCAGAGATTTCTCCCTAGCAGTTTACAGTGAATTTGCCATCTTCATAGATTGTCCAGTATTGTGGGATTTTTTGTTCCTATTCATTTAACTTTGGGGAATTTCTCCCTTGAAACCTTTTCTTAGATAATGGCCCTTCCTTTCAATCTCACTTTCACATCTCTGTCAAGATGGTGTATATTGCTACTGAGGTGGCAGACAGTCCACTGTAGCAGAGCACAGACTCTGAGGGATATTTCCCTTCTATAAAAGATCCTACATTCTTTCCAGATATAAATGGGTGTCAGTTAAAGGAGGGATATATCAAGACTTTGATGACAGATGCTAGTTCCAACCTCATATCCTATTTCTGTATCAAAATATTTGCTCTTAATTGAATTTACTGCACAAATTAACAGTGGAGGTGCCCAGATTTCTAAATGGGTCATAGCAAGCCAGCTTGACATCATGCTGAGAAGTCAGCACGCTTGAGGAATATTGGGAAAAAACCCAAATATTTACAAAATGTGATGAGTTAGAGAAAAGGGAAGTATATTAAGCATGTTAAAGATGTTAGTCTGAACCTCTAAATATGTTTAACATCCTCAGTACTTTAAATGGTGGATTAGATTATCAAAGGCATCCAACAGCTTTGGTATACTGGTCAGTATTTCCTTTCTCCATGTGGTTCCAGGATAGCAGTGTATCTTTACAGGTTCCAAATATTACAAACTCCAAATAAACTTAAAACAATAAGAAAAGTCTGGGTTTTGATTTCCCAGCCTTGCACAATCTGCAGAACCTGCACACAGCCAGCACCACCACACAGAATGACACAAGCAGTATCAAAGAGCCAACCAAGATGATCTTCCCACATCTGACTCAGCCTTAAACTGGCCATAGAAACAGGATGTGTTCAGTACTTGCTGTCCTGACAAGCTCCCATCCCAGTCACTCAGGCCCTGTGTAGTCCCTGAAGTTGAACACCACCCTCAGGGGTCCCCAGAAAGGCTGAGACTGCTCATAATTTCCCTCCTGGTCCACACAGGGAGTTCCAGGCAGATTGCAAGGATATTGGCTGAATCTCAAG